GAGAATTCTTGTGTACTTTTTTACATAAAGCTATGAGGGGGGTGAGAGGGGGGGGAGGGAGGGATAGGGATGGGGAGGGGGGGAGGGAGAGATTGGTTATTTTCTATTTCAAAGTAGAAGCTATTTTCTTTTTGTCAGGTTTCTGGCAGGCCCACCAAGAACCGTAGGCTCTGTAACATCAAGGTAAGCTTTCCCTCACTGGAATTCTCTCTGTCCCCAAGAAGGTGCATTCTCAGTTTGATGGCCTGGCAAGGAATGAAGGGCAATTGTATACCAGGAGGAGGTTCTGACATTTGGGTTGTGTGGTTGCAGTGTGTAGAACTCAAAAAGAGTGTCCTTAGGGAGAGGAGTTGTAGATATTTATGGGTAAAAAGAGGTGGGATTTGAAACGGAAGGAGGGAGCCCAGTCCCTTCAAAGTTTGGAAAAAAGTACTGTAAGATTATATTTTCCTGCAACATTTGTCTCATTAAAAAGGTAGCACCATACACATTTTTTGCAAATGTTCAAGCTCCTTTGCAAAAGGCTGTAAACTCAGCAAGATTGTAATGCTGAGGACTAGGACACCTATCCCTTTCCGTGAATCAAGCAGCACAAATATTCCTTTGCTTAATCTAGACATGTCCTGTGACTCAGTGCGGCTGGTGTGAACAACTGTTGAAATCGCCTGGCAGAGATCTAGTCAAGGCAGTGAACCACCATAGCAACTACAGTGTTCTAAGTACATTATTCCCACAGGATTTTATCAGTTCATTTCTATCCTGCTACCAAAATAATCTGTGGCAGAACCAAAAACAGTTGTCTGGCCAATAAGAGATCACAGGCCGATTTGGCTGAGCAATGGGAATTAGTTAACTCCTCTATTTGGAGTGAAAACAGTAGGAAACCATTTTTTTTTTTAGTGATATCATCCCTGCCCAATCAAGGGGAATCCTGTCATTTTGTCATGCCTGTTTGCCCAGTACTGCGAACTAAAGAACTTATAACACAAACAAACTCTGTGTGCGTGTGTGTGTAATCTGTGCCTCCAGATGAGCATTAAAAAGCCTCATAGAGCTATAAAGTCTGCCTTACGTTCAGAAGCTTCTAGCTGCAAGGAGAATTGGTAAGGAAACAACCCACCCTTGCCAAGTCAAAACACACCCGATCCTTTTCCCTCCTCTCTTCAGTGTTATATCGATGGTCCCTACGGCACTTCCACACGACGGATCTTCTCTTCAGAGCACGCGGTGTTGATTGCGGCAGGAATCGGCATAACCCCTTTTGCCTCCATTTTACAAAGCATCATGTTCAGGTTGGTCTGCAAGAGGTTAGGACCCAAGGTGCTAGCAAAATGCTGTGCTACCAGTGTGTCTGTGGAGATTCTCTGTAATCCAGGTCTTGGTTGTCCCAAAAGTGTTTTTTCAAAAGACAACAGGACTTTGGTTGTTTCCCTAAAACAAAGGGGGGAGGAAACCAAGTCCAACTGCCTTTTGAAAAAGCACTTTGGGGACTGTATCAGGATGTTGTTTTCTCTTTTGGTTGGTCTTTAGTTTTAACTAGCTGATAACCTGGTGTTGCCCGGTATTTATTTATAGGGGGAAAATGTCTGGACCAAGGGGTGGCATTCAGCATTCTGACCAGTTCGGGAGAACCCATAATGGAAATTTTGAGTAGTTCGGAGAACTGGCAAATACCACCTCTGGCTGCCCCTGCCCCTATCTATTCTCTGCCTCCCATGTCCCAGCTAATCGGGAGGAAATAGGGATTTTGCAGTGGGGAGGGGATGGAGATTTTACAGTATCCTTCCNACAACAACAACAACAACAACAACAATAATAATAATAATAATAATACCACCAAAATTTCTGGAGCATCACTTGAAGACCTTTGGCATTGATAAAATCACCATCGGTCCATTAAAAGAGGCAGCTTTATTTGGAACAGCTTACAACTTGCCTATCCTTGGGAAAGATTCAATAGGTGGCTGAAAATGCCAACGCAGTTTAAACTACTACCTGGCTATGTGGCCAATAATCATACAAAGCTAGAATTGAGAAGACAGCAACAGAGGGCAAGCGCTGCCTCTGCAAAGAAACTGAAGAAACAGCGGACTACCTGGTTAGCTGCTGCAAGAGGATTGCACAGACTGACTGTGACAACGGCAACTTCCATCGGCCTAACTTCATTTTGCTCTCCAAAATGTGCCCCTTCCTTTGTCACCCGCAGGTCTTCTACTGGACTCACCTTTTCTACATCCCCATCTGGGTTTTGCTGATTGTTCACGGTGCTAATTTCTGGAAGTGGTTTGTGATCCCTGGGTCTCTCTTCCTGGGAGAGAAGGCCTTTGCAGCCACTTTGTCACGGGTCGGTGGGCTGTACATTGTGGAAGTCAACCTTCTACCCTCCAAGGTGGGTTCCACAAATGGCAAAGTAAAGAGAAATGGGTATCAGCATAGATAACTTGCTGGTGAGACTAGAAAAGGAACAATTAGGCCTTTTCCCTAATTGCCCAATGAATCCTTACTAGAAGAAACCACGTGTGTCCCCATGTTATTTCTTTTAAAATCCAGGTGACTCATTTGGTGATTCAGAGGCCCCCCTTTCTCCACTACAAACCTGGCGACTATGTGTACCTGAACATTCCGGTCATCGCCCGGTATGAGTGGCACCCCTTCACTATCAGCAGTGCTCCAGAGCAGCCAGGTAGGGGACTGACCATCTGAAGGGCAGCTGCATGCCTCTCAAGTCCAGGGCTTTGGCCTTGACAGGAGCATCTGCCAGGGAATGGAGTCCTCCGTGTCAAAAGCAGTGGCTCCATTCTCTTCTGGACTTTCTGACCCTCCGTTCCCAGACCACTCTGGATGCTGAGAAATGGGATGCCTTGAATGCCCGTTGAGCTGCCCAGCACCTCCTGGCTTATGGTGCTATGATGGGTGACCCCAACCTCCATTGACCAACGTCAAATTGTGTTGGAGCATCAACTGCAGTGTAACGATCCACTCTGGAGGAATGGTTGGGGAAGTTGAGCGAAATGGATAAATTGATTTCTTTGATTAGAGTAAAGACAGCATCTACCTTTATTGGTGACTGGAAATCTCTTATGGACTTTTTTGTGTAAAACTGGGAGTGAAATGAACTTGTTACTTATGGTTTTGATGATTATATAAGTAACATTATAGGAGTAAGAGTAACATGGTGTAACTTTAGAGATGGGAGGTATATTGTTTGTATTTACCATTGCCATGAAGAATAATGGAAGCCACTTTATATTTTCTTTCTTCAACTTTCTTTTTCTTCAACCTTTTCTTTTCTTGCCCTTTTGTTTTTCATTTGTTCAAGCTTTTATGTCTCGTTTAAACATTTTTTATTAAAAATTATATATTTTTAAAAAATGAAATTCTCAAAGATCTCTCAGCCAATGGCTGTCAGACCTAATCTCACTGAGTTTTTAAAACCAGCCCAGATCAGGCAATTTCTGCCACTTGCTGGGAGTCTTTGAAAGGAATCCTCAAGTAAACTGGAAAGCAGTGCAGCCCCTGGTCATACAAGCAGCAGCATCCTGTATCAGCTGTAACTTCTGAAGATGGTTTAAAGATAGCCTGCTTAGAGCACATGGCAGTCATACAGATATGAGATCGCTAAGCTGCATGTCCATTTGGTCAGATCTGACTCCCCAGAAATGGACATAGACGATGGGCTGGCTGGTGGCTGCTGCCTGAGCTTGAGATTCAAAACTGGCTCTATTGAACCCCCAACACAAAACTCAAGGTAGCCCTACCGCATTTGACACTGGGAACCCCCTATGTCTCAATGATGTCTTCCAGGGGTCTTGGGTGAATGGAAAGCAAAGTGTTCAAAGGTTTGATTTATCCCTTCCCTTGCCTGCTCTATCCCAGGGGTCTCCAACCTTGGCAACTTTACGTCTGGAGGACTTCAACTCCCAGAATTCCCTAACCAGCTTTGCTCCAGGCTCAAAGCTGCTAAGGTTGGAGAGCTCTGCTCTATACCCTACCCTGATCTTGCCACCTCCAGAAAACGGATTCCAGTCCATATTGTTACTTTATACTAATCTCGGTGATGGCTGTGCTTCAGCCTACTAATTTAATCAAGAAGACCTCATTCAGTCTTCTCCTTCTCTTCAAAGACACCATCTGGTTGCACATTCGATCCCTGGGACAATGGACCTACCGGTTACATGAGTACTTCTGGAACTTTCAGGAGCCCTTGGAAGACAACCCCAAATTGTCAGTGGCCAGAAGATCAAGGAACAAGAACAGACTCTCAAATTTTCTGCAGGTTTGGTTTAAAATGCTCTCTATGTGTTAATTTTTCTAGTTCTTGTTACTGGCTCATCTGTTACTAAGATCGACTTGGCAGATTATCTTCCCCCAGCTTGGTGTTAACTGGAATATTAACTAGATATTAAGCCTCACACAGACTTAAGACAAATGAAATCAGGTAAAAACAAAAACAAAATCCAGCCATAGAGCAACATCTTTTATAGCCAAGAGTGATTGGAAAAAAAAAAGAATCATTTTAGAAATTGGGACCTGTTGTTGAAAGAACATCTGGAAAGCAGACGTTTCAGGATGAATAAAGATGAGGGAGGGAGGGTGCTCTCTGTGTGGAAGAGTGTCTGAGATGGGATTCTGAGAGACTCACTGCTGGTGCAAATCCACCCTGCCCAGTAGCGAAATTCAATTTTTTTTACTACCGGCTCTGTGGGCGTGGCTTGGTGGGCATGGCAGGAGAAGGATACTGCAAAATCTCCATTCCCTCCCCACTCAGTCAGGGGTGGCATTTGCCAGTTCTCTGATCTACTCAAAATTTCCGCTACTGGTTCTCCAGAACCTGTCAGAAACCAGCTGAATTTCACCCCTGACCCTGCCTGTCCAGCATCCTCCCTTTTGGAATTTGTGTATGCTGAATAGGGGGTTTATCCATACATCACCCAATGGCTCGCTATTTTAAGGACATCTGCACCGTTGCAGTCATCTCTCATCTCATCCCCTTCTTACACACGAGGCTGCCTGGCTTATTTCATCTGACCTTGTTGAAATGGTGCTTTTCTGCTGATGGAATCCCTGCTTATGCACTTCGGTTGTGACCCTGGTGACAATAGGATCAAAAGCTAGGATCTGCTTGGCTTCCAGGGCTGCTTTTGGTTGCACTGTATGCCTCCCCTCCTTTACGGCTACTTGACACTGTCCTCCATAGCCACTTAGCCTCTGACTCATGCACTGACATGACACCTGGGCTTTCCTTATGAAGCCAATGTTTCGTGGGAATGGGCTCAAGGAGGTGGCCTTTGATTTCTCCCACAATCGGATTGGGACTGTCGGTTTTGAAAAAGACAACTAGTCTTACTCAGTGACCAACACAAACCCAATACAAAAAGCTAAAATTCAATAAAAAGTAAAGCTTTATATATTTCAAAGTTTGTAAAAAAAAAAAAAAAAAAGACACATTCCCTCATACCATACCATATTGGCCCCAGTAGAGTTGACTGAGCTGAACCTGGATTCTTGGAGAAGACATTGGTTGTGGTGCAACCAAAACAATCTTGAATTAAATACATTCAAAACCGTAGAAATGGTGGTAGATTTTAGGAGAAACCCTCCTATACTACCACCTCTTACAATACTAGACAACACAGTATCAACAATAGAGACCTTCAAGTGTCTATCTTCTATCATATCTCAAGACTTAAAATGGGCACCTAACTTCAAAAATATCATCAAAAAAGCACAACAAAGACTGTTCTTTCTGTGCCAACTCAGAAAGCTCAAGCTGTCCAAAAAGCCGCTGATTCTGTTCTACAGAGGACTTATTGAGTCTGTCATCTGCACCTTCATAACTGTCTGGTTTGGCTCTGCAACCAAACAAGACAGACACAGACTTCAGAGGATATTCAGAACTGCAGAAAAAACAATTACTACCAACCTGCCTTCCACTGAGGACCTGTACACTGCACCAGTCAAAAAGAGGGCTGTGAAAATATCTACAGACCCCTCGCATTCTGGGCATACAGTAAATTGTTTCAACTTCTACCCTCAAAACTATGCTATAGGGCTCTGCACACCAGAACAACTTGACACAAGGACATTTTTTCCACCAAATGCCATCACTGTGCTAAACAACACTTGACAACACTGTCAAATTATTTACTAACATTGTTCTTCTCTTCTCTTCCTTCCTAGTACCTATCTCTTCCCACTTATGACTATAATCATGTTGCTATATTGTTTTATTTGTTTCCTAGTATAATTTGCTTATTAGTAACCTATGACTATCCCTAAGTGTTGTATCTTATGATTCTTGATGAATGTATTCTATTTTATTTTTCTTTATATACACTGAGAGCATCTGCACCAAAGACAAATTCTGTGTGTGTCCAATCACACTTGGTCAATAAAGAATTCTTTTCTTTTCTATTCTATTCTTTTCTATTGTATTAACATGGCATGGTAGAGAGTCTGAACAATGCAGTTCAGTGCTCAGTCTTATTACAGATCTGCCCTTGTTTCTGGTCACTCCAAACTGTCTCTGATCTGAAGAATTGCTTCCTGGTTCCATGCCCCAATGTTATCAATTCAATAACATTTATTTGTGTCAATAAGCAGCAAAACTTAACCCTTGTGAGTCAGTGCTGCATCAAAAAAGGAGAAGCTGCATCAATATTGATAGGCAGATCAGCAGCAGGGCAACTTCACAGATGGCATAAAGGCCTTTTTTGTGGTTGTTAAATTGACATCACAGCCGTAAAGTTTCTGAGGAAAGGAGGAGATTCCTGTTGACCAACCCTGCTTCACCATAGTGCTAAGCAGAACATGTGATTGTTCCCTACATCCCTGGCAGATGAAAGTGGAAGAAGGAATTGCAGCCCCAGTTTCTGCTCTTAATTTGTCCTGGATGAAAACTGTCAGGATTGGCCGCATGTTGTCCTGAACCTGGATTGGGGTAGCGTCAATAACACTAACTGCTTTTTGTGCCACTTCGGCAGTGGTGGGTTTCAATTTTTTTTAGAACCTCTTCTGTAGGTGTGGCCTGCTTTGTGGTAGTGGCTTGCCAGCCATGTGACCAAGTGGGAGCGGCTTGCCAGCCATGTGACCAAGTGGGAGCGGCTTGCCAGCCATGTGACCAAGTGGGAGTGGCTTGGCAGTCATGTGACTGTGTGGGCGTGACCAACTTGTAAAATGTGGTGAAACTCGCAACAACGCTCTTCCTTAGCAACCAAAATGTTGGCTCAGGAACTCTAGCATTGAAGTGTGCAAGTCTTAAATCTGTCAAGTTACAAGACCCTTGCACCCCTAACCCTTTAGAAAAAACCCCCAGGGGTGTTCAAACCTGACAGCTTTAAGACTTGTAGACTTCAACTCCCAGAATTCCTCCTGCAGTCATGTTGACTCAGGAACTCTGGCATTGAAGTGTGCAGTCTTAAAGCTGTCAAGTTTGAACACCCCTGGGGTTTTTTTCTAAAGGGTTAGGGGTGTGAGGGTCTTGTAACTTAACAGCTTTAACACTCGCATGCTTCAATACCAGAGTTTCT